GTGAATCTCCCTGATGACTAATGATGTTGAGTACATTTTCATACTGTTGATTAGCCATTATCCTTTTTCGTGAAGTGCTTGTTCAAATTTCTTGCCCTTTTTTCTACCAGGTTGAATGTCTCTTTTTAATTCTGGATAAGCCTTTTGCTAGTTATCTGTTTCAGAAATGTCTTCTCCCACCATGTGGCTCGCTTTTTTTCTCCTATAAGTTCTTCATTATATTGCAATCAAGTCCTATTTACCAATCTTTCCCTTTATGGTTAGTGTTTAAGAAATCTTTCCCTACCCTCAGGGTCATAAAGATGTTTTCTGTTATCTTCTACATCAGGAATCAGCAAACTACAGCCATGGCCAATTAGGATCAGCCACCTGTTTTTTAATAGCCTGTGAGCTAAGAATGAAATTTTTTAAAAAATAGCTTTTTTTGAGATACAATTCACACACCATACAGTTCATACATTTAAAATATACAATAAATTGGGCCAGCCCGGTGGCGCACTGCTACAGTGCGCCACTTGGGAGTGCGGTGGCGCTACCACCGAGGGTTTGGATCCCACATATGGACCGGTTCCCGCTCACTGGCTGAGCAAGGTGCAGGCGCAACACCGAGGGTTGCAATCCCGTTGCCGGTCCTGGTCCGGTACGGGCGCGACACTGAGGGTTGCGGTCCGTTGCCGGACATGAAAAAAGACAAAAAGGAAAATAATAATAATAATAAAAAAAATAATAATAAAATATACAATAAAGTATACAATTCAATGGTTTTAATTATGTTCACAAAGTTGTGTAATAATAATAATAATAAAAAAAAAATAATAAAATATACAATAAAGTATACAATTCAATGGTTTTAATTATGTTCACAAAGTTGTGCAACTATCACCACACTCAGTTTTAGAATATTTTTATTGCTCCAAAAGAAACCCTGGACCCATTAGCAACCACTTCCCATCTCCTTAGGCCCTCTAGCACCAAGCAGCCACTAATCTACTTCCCATCTCTATAAAATTGCCTAATATGGACATTTCTTACAAATAGTATCATAAGACATGTGGTCTTTTATGACCAGCTTCTTTCACTTAGCATAATGATTTCAAGGTCCACCCATGTGGTAGCATATATCAATACTTCATTCCTTTTTATTACCAACTAGTATTCCACATTAAGAATATACCACATTTTAGCCATCCATTCATCAACTTATGGACATCTGGGTTGTTTCCACTTTTTGGCTTTTATGAATAATGCTATCGTGAACATTCGTATTCTTTTATGTAAACATTTGTTTTCATTACTCTTGGTACACCTAGGAATGGAATCACTGATAATTACATTTACCATTTTGAGGAACTGCCAGACTGTTTTCCAAAGCAGTTGAGCCACTTTACATTCCCACCAACAATATATGACAGTTCTAATTTCTCCACAGCTTCACCAACATTTGTTATTGTCTTTTTTTATTATAGCCATCCTAGTTGGTGTGAAGTAGTATTTTATTATGGTTTTGGTTTGCATTTCTCTAATGATTAATGATGTCAGCTCTCTGTTCATGTGCTTATTGGCCATTTATATATGTTTCTTGGAAAAATGTCTATCCAGATCCTTTGCAAATGTTTTTTAATTGGGTTATCTCTTATTATTGTGTTGCAACAGTTGAGTTGCAAATATTTTCCCCCATTCTATAGTTGTCTTTTCACATTCTTAATGGTATTCTTTAAAGCATGAAAAGTTTTTAATTTTGACAAAGCCCAATTTATCTTTTTAGGCCCTTGTGCTTTTAGTGTTAGTTTGTGTTTTTTATAGTGTTTAAGAAATCTTTCCCTGAGAAGGCTTTACCTAACCAAAAGTCACATAGCTTTATGTCTACATGTTTTTCTAAGAGTTATATAGCTTTAGATTTTACAGCTTATGAGTCTATGGTTTTAAGTTAATTTTTGTGAATGGTGTGAGTTAAGTGTCCAACTTCATTCTTTTTCATATGGATATTCAGTTGTTACAGCACCACTTGTTGAAAAGACTATTCTTTCCCCACTGTTTTGACACCCTTGTTGAAAATGAATTGACCACAAATATAAGGGCTCATTTTGGGACTCTCAGTTCTATTTCATTGATCTATGTCTATCCTTATGTCAGCACCACACTGTTTTGATTACTGTAGCTTTGTAGTAAGTTTTGAAATGAAAAAGCATGAGTCCTCCAACTTTGTTCTTTTCTTTCAAGACTGTTTTGGCTATTCTGGGTCCCTTGCATTTCCTCTAGAATCAACTTATCAGTTTCTTCAAAAAAAAGCTATCTGGGATTTTGAAAGACATTGCATTAAATCTGTCAATCAATATTAAGTATTGTCATCTAAACAATATTAAGTCTTTGATCCATGAACATGGAATGTCTTAACTTGTTAAAATTATCTGTACTTTCTGGGCCGGCCCAGTGGCGCACTGCTACAGTGCGCCGCTTGGGAGTGTGGTGGCGCTCCCGCCCGAGGGTTCGGATCCCACATACAGACTGGTTCCCGCTCACTGGCTGAGCGAGGTGTGGGAGCAACACCGAGGGTTGCGATCCCGTTGCCGGTCCCGGTACGGGCGCGACACTGAGGGTTGCGATCCGTTGCCGGACACGAAAAAAGACAAAAAGGAAAAAAAAAATTATCTGTACTTTCAATTACCTTTAATTTCTTTCAACAATGCGTTGTAGTTTTCATAGTATTAGACTTGAACTTCTTTTGTTAAATTTATTCCTAAATATTTTATCCTTTTTTGAGGATACAGTAAATGAAACTGTTTTCTCAATTTCATTTATAATAGATCCTTGTTCTTGTATAAAAAAGCAATTGATTTTTATATATTATTCTTATATCCTGCAATCTTGTTGAACATGTTTTATTAGTTCTAATAGCTTTCTACAGGACTCTTTAGGATTTTCTATATTTACAAGAATATGTTACCTGCAAACAGATAATCTTACTGTTTCAAACTCACAATCTGGATGTCTTTTTACTGTTTTCTTGTCTAATTGCCCTGGTTAGAATTTCCAGTACCATGTTAAACAGAAATGGCAAGAGAGGACATCCTTGTCTTATTCCTGATTAGGGAAAGTACTGAGTGAGTGTTCCATCATTATGATATTAACTGCAGAGTTTCCACACGCTCTTTGTAAGACTGAGGGAGTTCCCACCTCTTTCTAGTTCAAGTGTTTTTTATCATGAGAGGGTGTTGAATTTTGTCAAATGCTTTTTCTGTATCTATTGTGATGATCATGTGATTTTTACTTCATTAATATATTACATTAACTGATTTTCAAATGTTAAACCAATTCTGCATTCCAGGGATAAATCCCATTTGGTCATAGTGTATAATCCTTTCTATATGTTGCTGGATTTAGTCTGCCAGTGTTTTGTTGAAAATTTTTAAATCTATGTTCATAAGAGACACTGCTCTGTAGTCTCATCTTGTGATGTCTCTCTGGTTTTCATATCAGGTTAATACTGGTCTCATGGTATGAATTGGTAAGTGTTCTCTACTATTTTTTGGAGAGAACCTACTAAGTTACCTACTTTCTTTGTGTTATCAAAGTAACTATTTTATAGGGTTGCTATGAGGGTTACACAAGTTAATATATGTAAAGCAATCGATACAGATCCTGCACACAGTAAGTGCTACATAAGTATTAGTTATTATTATTGTTATTATACCCACCTATCTCAATTTGCCCTGTTTGAAATGGTTCTTCCCACATCCACTCTACTCCCTTCTAATTTGTTCTCCATACTGTAGCCAGAGGATCTTGCTAATAACACAAATCTGGTCATGTCACTGCCTTGCTTAAGACCCTGTTATCACCTGATGCAGTTTTCATACAAGCTCTATGCTGCTTAAGACTCTCCTCACCTTCCCAACTTCTCCCAACCCTTCACCTTCAACTAGTTAATGGTTACTCACTTAGATTTCGGGTTAGACACACTTTCTTTAAGAAACTTTCACAGATTCGCAAGTTAGCATCTCCCTACACCTCTCCTTCATAACATTCTTTTGGTTTGTTTGTTTTGGCAGCTGGCCTGTAGGGGGATCCGAACCCCTGACCTTGAGGTTGCAAGGCTGTGCTCTAACCAACTTTCACAACGTTATGCATACTTCTTATTGTTACTTTTTCGGTTCCTATTTAGATCAAATTCCATTAGAAAAGCAGGGTAACTGCTGAAACTCCAGCTCCTATTACAACGGCCTGGCTCATAATTTGTGCTCGATAAATCTCTTTTGAAGTAATAAATAAATCTTGCTCGTCGGTTTGAGTTTCAGTGATTCACATGAACATATTTGATTTACTGCAACAAAAGATTCACATCACGCAGTACCCTGCCTCAATTTTGCCTCATACAGCAAAAACCAAACTGTCCGAGATGGCATCGAGATCGTTGGATTGTGGGGTCCAGGTAGGAATAACTTGTATCTTCATCTTTGTATTCCTAGATTCTACTACGGTCCTTGGCACATTAAAGGCACCCAATAAATTGTGCTGAATAAACTTTTCTTGGAACAGGGGCGGCTGGATGGCCCGATAACTTCAACACGTTCTCTCTCCTATTATCCCCAAAGCCCAGGAACCCCTACTGCCCTCCATCAGTCCACTATTCTAACTACCAATGCCACGCCCCCGCCCCCTCCACTCGCAACTCTTTTTTAACTTAAACTCAGATCTCACCTTTTCGATCACTAAAAGCAGTCACAGGAAAAGCAATTAAATTAATGACCTAAACTAATCGCAGTCAGGTGCATCCCTTGATCACCTCCGTACCCTCCCACCCTGGTGCCTAGGGCTGTTGAGCTCAAACCAGGTGAGATGAAAGACTCAGCTTCCCCTCTAAGGAAGGCCCCCACTTCCCACTCGGAGCCGAGCCCTCGGCTGTCCCGACCGGAGTTGTCCCTCACGAGGCCCGACTCGGGTCCGCGTCCCCGGGGGCTCCGCAACCGCCCCTCTGGCCCGCGTCCCATGGCCCCACTCACTGTTCTTGAGGAAGCGCTCCTCGTGCAGCACGGCAATGGCGTTGACACAGAGCAGGGCCGCCTGCAGCAGCGAGTACAGAGTAAAGGCCATAGCCACCCAGAGTCGCCCAGACGCCCAACTGACTCCTTTCCAGCCGCCGCAGGGGACGTGGCGTCGGCACGGCTGGCGCTCTCCTACGGGAGCTGGTGGGGCCCAAAAACCGCTGTCTGAGAAGCTCCGCCCCCCTCTGGCCAAGAACCGCCCCACGCTTACGTCATCAGGGCGTATGCGCCTAGCTGGCTAGACCCGTGCTGTCCAACGCCACAGCCGCCTGTGATTACTGAACATTTGAAATGTGGCTAGCTTGGATTGCTATAGTTGCAAAACACAAAGACACAACAAAGATGTAAAATATGCTACTCATTTTTAATGCTGATTACATGTTGAAATGATAATATTTTTAATACATTTGGGTAAATATATTACCTCATTAATTTTTCTTTTTACTTTTTTGTTTAAGTGGCTATGAGGACATTGAAAATGACATACGAGTCATGTATTATATTGCTATTGGACAGCACTGTGCTAGATTCTCCGAGGAGCTATTTGAGATCATAATATTCCCATTTTACAGATGAGGGAACAGAGGCTTTGACAAATAAAAATTTTTTATAAATTAAAATAAAATAACATATCTTAAAATTACGCAGTGAGAAGCATTTTCTCCTGACCAAATTCCTTCTGAGCCCTCTTCTTGACCAGCCTTCAACATTAGCCTATAAAAATTATAGACAGTCCACACAAATGATTGTGTCTGTCGCTCAACCCCTACTTTAAAAGACAAACCTTGACATAATTTAACACTAGCTGCCCCCTTAAAGTGCTTGCCTGAGAAAGCTCAAGTTACCAAAAGAATTTACTGTTCGTTCTAGCCACCTGACAAAGGGCTTACAATTGTGAATCCTTCCTCTGTACCTTTGAGATGTATATGTATTTCCTACAACTCAGGAGTGTCTTTCTCAAGGACCTGAAAACCATTCCTTTAAAATGTAATCATCAGGAAGGATAGGGCCTCTGCCTCCCAGTCTCCATGAGAGGATAGAATCCTGACTTCCATAAATGCTAGCTCATAGACAAAGCAGGCCTAACTACATTTGCACTGACCAACCCTTTGTAATTTTTCACTATCCTGACTCTATTGAGGTCTCATTCATCCTCCTCCCTACTCTTTCTCTTTTTAAAATGCCCAGTTACCTGTGCACAAATCAATGTTGAGTTCAGTTCGCACTGGAAACTCTTCCTTATTGCAATAGTATATTTCTGATTAAAATCTGTCCTTACCACTTTAATTAGTGTCTGACTATCTTTGACAGCATCAGCAAAAGGCTGTTAGACCTTGATAAATTTTAAACATTGTTTGAGAGCAAGTGTGCAAAGTAATCACTTCCTAAACTCTAAAGGGTACCGTATGATAAAAGAGGGAAAAGCACCACATTAGTCCCAGAAAGGACTTTGGAAGCCTGTGTGTTGCCTGTGCTGGAAGAGACACTGGCCAAAAAAAGAATAATAGGTTAAACTCCCCAAAAGAAATTAAGCTTAAATAGGCCAACTAGTTAGTGTCTACAGGGAAGAAGAGGTTTGTTTCCCACAATAGAACATAAATACTAACTCCAAAACCTGAACACAAGTGCAAATCAGGTAGAGAGAGACATGTAAAGATAAAATAAAGGGAATAAAAGAAACAATAGGACACCAGCAAATCCTCCAGTTCTTTAAGGCCTATAAAACCCTAGACACTGGGCCGAGAGCCCGTAGCGCACACGGGAGAGTGAGGCGCTGGGAGTGCAGCGACGCTCCCGCCGTGGGTTCGGATCCTATATAGGAATGGCCGGTGCCCATAGCGCACTCGGGAGAGTGAGGCGCTGGGAGCGCAGCGACACTCCCGCTGTGGGTTCGGATCCTATATAGGAATGGCCGGTGGGCTTACTGGCTGAGCGTGGTGCGGGCAACACCAAGCCAAGGGTTGCCATCCCCTTACCGGTCACGAGAAAAGACAAAAAAAACAACTCTAGACACTGGTAATGATGAATGTTTTAGTCCATTCAGGCTGCTATCATAAAATACCATAGACTGGCTGACTTATAAACAACAGACATTTTTTCTTACAATTCTGGAGGCTGGAAGTCTGAGATCAGAGTGCCAGCATGGTCAGATTCTAGTGAGGGCCCTCTTCCAGGCTGCAGATTGCCGACTTCTTGTATCCATGGTGAAGAGAGGAAGCAAGTTCTCTCAGGACTCATAAGGACACTAATCTCATTCACAAAAGCTCCACCCTCATGGCCTCACCTAATCCTAATTACCTCCCAAATGAGTAATACCATCACATTCAGGTGTATGAATTTTAGCGGGGGACACAAACATTCAGTCCATAACAGTGAAGGAAGGTTATTCTCGAATGTGGAAAGTGGGGCCCCTCTAGGACTTCTACATTGGGCTAGAAAGGGGGAAGTGGCACTTGGGAAAGCTTGTCTGGAAGCTTTAGTTGTGCAGTGACTTGAAGTTTTTACTAGATTGTTTGGGGGAAGAGGTACAGAAGGATGACTGGAAATTATGGCATGGAGGAAGTGGAGGTCAGAGTAGCGCCTCCCACGGCTACCCCTTTGTGCTGCCACTGGATCACAACTCGCGAGATCCAATTCTTTTATTGTCAAAAGGATCAGGTTAACATCGCTGTGCCTCTGTTACTTCATCTATAAAATTAGCTGATTATCATCTCTGAGGCCCTTTGAGCTTCAAAATTCTCTAAATCTAACAAAAACAGCTTAAAATATAAGATAGTGTACAAGTACTAGTGCCATGTTATCTGATGCATTATTTTTCAAAAATTCAGGCTTGTAGGCTAAGCTGATAACAGCAGATTATATCT